CACTCATCTACATCTTCAAAAAATTCCATACCATCGAACTCAACAGCGACAGTTGTACATGTGGTTTCATTAGTTGTAGTCAGAGGCGCACCTCTGTACTCAGTTCTGTATACCACTCACTCAACGCATCGATGTTGCGCATGACATTGTCAAGTTCCCAATTCAGAAGTCAAGGAAACAGAATTGGGAGGATGACTTCAATTGTCAGTCAGTCAGTCAGTGTATTTGAGGGAAATAGGCTTACGCCTTTGAACTCCCTATTTGTACATAAAAAATCGATAAACAAGCAAAAATTTGAAGAAATTACAGCATTAAGTGAATGCATACATTGATTCACATATGTCACTAGTCACATGGTTAAAAAGTCACATAGTCCGCTTGTTGCTGCAGCATATATCTGTCAAGGCGACATTTAAATGTCTCCACAGATTGAGACATAACAACCGTCTCGGGCAGGTTATTCCACGGTTCCACGACACGGTTGGAGAAGAAATATTTTCTCACATTCAGTCTACCCTGTGGCACACGTAGCTTGAAGGGATGTCCCCGGAGGTGAGTTGTGGTGGCGAGTTGGAAAAAGTCATCGCACCGAAGGGCACAATCCAAGCCGCGCACGATACGGAAAGTTTGTATCATGTCTCCGCGCAACTGCCTATAACTCAGAGGATAGAGATTAAGGTTAGTTAAGCGGATCTCGTATGGCAGTGCACTTTGACCTCTTACTAATTTTGTGGCTCGCCTCTGCACCCTTTCGAGCAGATCGTAATCCTGGTGCGTCCACGGTCTCCAGGCCTGAATTGCATATTCGATATGGGGCCTTATAAACGTGCCGAAGACTTTGGTGAAGCAGTCTTCATCGAAAACTACGAATGCCCGCTTGATGGCATATAGCATTGAAGTTGCGGCCTTGGCCGCCTTACAGCATTGTGTAGAAGGCTTTAGGCTGTCTGCAACCCAAACTCCGAGATCTTTCTGAGTTTCTGCTTCTCGGAGTGGCATTCCGTTCAGATGGTATTGCCGCGTACTAGGGCTCTGATTTCCGAGGCGCAGAATGGTGCATTTGTTCAAATTGAAGGACAAGAGCCATCTGCGGGACCACTCGTCCAACCGACAAAGATTTTCTTGGAAGTTGGTCTCATCGGCAGCAAGAGTCACTTGCGGTAAGCGTAGGAGCTGTTGATGGGTCAGGTCTCCAATCAAAACACGCTGTCCATCTCGGATAGTTTGTGGCCAACTGGCCATTGGGTAGTACACCGGGTCCAGGTGGGGAGTGGGGAGGAGAGAGTGAGGTAGATGCTGTGCAAGTCTGTTATCACTTTAAACTAATCCACGCACAAGTCACCGTCCCTGCTCCGCTTTGCTGTGGAGCACACGGTGGACATCGTCGAAACCGACGGTCAGCCATGCGGTATTCAACAGGTTCATCTTACTTTGGATTGAACGCATTCTTATGTTTGGAAGGACATCGCTATCCACTCTGCGGTCACTTGGTCAGAAAAAGAGGTGCTTCCAACGTCGAAGGACGCTCCAGATGGAAGTTTTATGAATTTATTCTCGCTTATGCCTCTGGGAAGCCCCCCTATTCCAACCACGAGTGATGCAACAAGATTGACCCCTCCTACGGGACATAGGGCGACAGAGCTCTGTTTTAGTAGCACCCCTCGTCATTATGCTCCGTAATATTGCATTAAAAGAATCGAAACCGATGATTTGCAGAGCCGAAGTACAATACCACTGTCTCAGCCCCCAAACAAATGTCACACGGAGGTTTGATTATGACAACTCTTATTGGTCATTACTTCATCGGGGTTGATATCCTCTGGTCGCCTATGGTAATTCCTCATTTCTACCTTGTCAGAGTGGCTTTGACGTCTGACGATGTGCGTTCATGACTGGGGTCCATCCTCCTGATCGATAGTAACAGTTTTGTGGGGCTTACCAGTGCCAGCTTCGACTCTCCATAACGCCTTCGGAAAAAATTCTCAGGCAGTTTCGTCGAACGGTAGTTGACAAGTTACAGTAGGTGGGCTAACTCATGAAATATCTGCAGAAATTCCGAAATGCGCCTTCGTTTCGAAAAGATTAATTGAGCAGAGTTGTAAAACTAGTCATCCTGCAGCATACTTCCATATTAATTCAGTTGCCTCAGGATGCCGGCTTTCGAACGAACTTATTTTCGGCTGCGTGAAAAAAGTATGTTCTGTAAAAATGACTACTTAAGTAGCATGCATGTTGCTCATTTATTTTCGATGACCTTACAATATAATTATATTTCGGGGAAAGCATAAATAAAAATATTCATTCCTTAACTATTTCGGTAGAAAATGACATCTTCTTCCCATTTTATACTCGACCGAAGGGTGTAATTCGGTTTTCAAAACCTTTTCCAATTCCCGAAAAATTTTGAACCTGACTTGTCGTTACATTTGCAATCAGAGATTCTAAAGTACAAGCCGTATACTTTCCGCGTATGGAAAACAATATATTTCTCTACGGAATTAAGAGAAGATCATATGGAATTCATAAAATTTAGTAGTGGATTTGAGCCATATTGTAAACCTTACAAGCAACAGTAGTAAATGCAGAGACGCTATGTTATATGAACCGGTATTTCACGGTATTTAAAATTTATAATTAGAAACTTTTTAAAAATCGAATTATATCCTTCCTTCGGGTATGAAATTGAGAGAAGACGTCATGTTATATCGAATGAGCAAACAACAAATATCCTTACGCATGTTTTTTTGTGGAATATAATTGAATTTCTATGGGCATCGAAAAGCAATGAGAAGAATGCATGCTAATGAAGTAGTCATTTGTACGAAGTATAGTTTTTGCATGCAGCCGGGTAGAAGTTCGTTCGAAAGCCGGCATGCTAAGGCAACTAAATTATTATTACATAATTATGCTGCATGATGATTAGTTTTTCAACTCCACTTAATTAATCCTTCCCAATCGAAAACGTATTTCGGAATTTCGGTTGGCATTTCATGAGTCAACCCACCTAATTCAAGTACGGAAAAAATCTTTCCTTCTCTGAACATTTCAGTTAAACGGATTGTACGCACCTACTGGCGCCCTTTATGATGTTTGCCAGATGCGCAAACGCCATAGCGACCAGCCATACGTCTGGAAAAAGAAGCAGGCATCTGCGCTTAGGTTTCCCTAGTTAGAAAAAGTCTGCCAAAATATCACATCAAAGTTTGCACAGCAGCAGCTTACATTTTCACTAACTACCAACTCCTAGTCTAAAAGTGCACCATGGGATTTCAAGAAAGGGAAGGTGGGGGATTTTACTGAGGCGGGTAAGTCACGAGGAAGGGGTGGTGCATGAGCCCGATCGTCGATAACTTCCTTGCAAAAAGCAGAACCACCCGTAAACAGTATCGCCTGTTTAGTCTAGCTTGCCTTCTGGGTGTAAATTAGCATATGCCAGGGTGTTGATCCAGCGACCGTTGCAATGGCTGGCGCAACCTAGTTCGCCACCGTCTTCACTACGGAATTGTTCAGGGTGAGGAGGAAGTGAGGTTATGCCCTGATTTTAGACGCAAACCGAAAGACTCCAACAACGACAAATAATAAACCAGAGAGGGTTATATTAATGATTTTAATTCTTCTCGGTATAGCGTGTAATGATCGCTGATTGGTCCTCGCTAGGTAACCACCTGTGAGGTTCCCAGACCGGTGGCTGCAAAGCCAAACGACAATCCACCCCGTCCTCTAATCGGGCCAGGACGGTGGATGCCAATCTCGAGTGAAGCCTTGAATATTCCCAGTTGCAGTCAACGGGACATGAGCCCGCAATTGTCGAGCTTTCGGAGCTATGACCAACCGGATTCTGATTGAAATCTAAGGTTTCCTCTGGTCGGGAATGGGGTTTGGACAGGCAGAGGACGACAAACATGGCTGCTCAAAGTTTCCTCTGTTTTATTACCTACATAATGATACACCTCCTCAAGGTTGGAGGTTCGACATGCCGGTAAGATATGGTTATATAATCCCACCTGATGGACACAATACTGTCGGGGTTGGAGTTAGGGTTATGGTTAGATGTTGGAGTTAGGGTTATGGGCTAGGGCAACTATTTCTCAACCAATCAAAGTACAACCGCGCATTCCCAATAGCTTTTCGTTTGCTTACAACTACTTGACCTCGTCGTCTGTACGTTCGCCGGCCCCACCTGCAAAAACCCCTATTCCCACTGGTCCCGTATTACAGGTGGCTGGGGTTTGCTTACTTCAGGTGGGGCTACATAACCACATCTCACCCAAATGCCGACACCATAATTGAATGTAGACTAGGCTCGCGGAACACTGCTCAGCATGAGACAATAGTTTTGTCCAGGACACCTACGCTGTGACCATCTTAAAACACACCGCTACAGCCCGGAAATGTGTTCTGTTGATAGAAGTACATTGTTATGGTAAAATTGGGAATGCGCGGTTGTATTTTGAGTGGTTGAGAAATAGTTGTTCTAACCCCTAACCCTAACCCCTAATTCTAATCCCTAACCCATAACCCGTAGCCCTAACCCTAACCCTTTGACCTTAACCTTAATCCCAACCCTTGACCGCAGCCCCAAACCCCAACCCGGAAACATTCAACGCGAAAGTTAGAAGGAGACTACAGGCCGAAAGTCAAGAAGGACCACCGGCATCGGGCCCAAACAGGTAGACACGACAACAAAGAAACAAGGCCGCCAACAGAACACACGCAGCAACACCACGCCAACGTAATCACACCAAATCAAAATAATTATGTAGGTCAACAGTATTCTGTTCATCAGGTGTGGCTACATAACCGCATCTTACTAATTTGTTTTGTTGATGGAAGTATATTTTTATGGTGGAAATGAAGGGTTTTAATTGCTTTTTTGTGAGAAGAGGGCTGCAGACGGCAACTCTCACTGACCCCTAAAAGGTTCTGCAAATTTTATGGCAACCAAAAACTTTCACAACGGTATGGATAACAGTAACTTTGGTTTTTCTTCCATCTGCTGTTCAGTTAGCGAAGGCAAAACGCCCTAGAGCCAGTACTAGCCAAGAGGGTGAAAGTGCAATATTTAAGAAGGATCGGGAAGCAGAGCACGTGCGGGGTTTTCGCGCCGCTAATTCCTTGGCCCTGTCGTCAGTCTTCTGAATCAGCCCGGAGATTCTTTTGGTTATGCCTCTGACAGCCAGGGAGGGAAAGATTGTGGTGTTTGGGGTTGTCTGCTGCTTGTGTGATGTCCGGGAACGTTCGGATTTTGTAGGTTTCGGGGTGGGTTTTGGCCTCCTAAACCAGGAGATGAAGTCTGCGCAAGGACTCTTCACTGTTGAGTCACCAGGTTGGAATCTGTATATCTCCCTTTCACATTCCACGTCGGTGCACTGCAGACCAACCGTCTTCTCCCTCTCCGCCATGTTGCCCGTGAAACGCCATACGCATTCCTTAGCTTTGCCTGCAACTTAATATAAGGAAAAGAACAACAATTTTTGAGGGCTCGGCAAACTCAATCAGCATGAATTTATTCCGAATATTGAAAAAACCGGCCAGACCCGATCATGCAGTATAATTCAGCCTTCTGCCATCTCTCTTACACACAATCCTCACACTACGAACCGGAATCCTATATTGAGAAGGACAATATTACCGCCAGCTTGGCGGCAACTCCATGTCACATTAAACTGCAACTTAACCGTACATGACTACTGAAATGGCAGCTGGCAATGCGACCTAGCTGTCCTGGCGTAACTGCAACTCCCAGTTACTGGCTTTCCAGGAGGTGATTAGACCTTTGCAGAAATTCAATCCCCTGTTATTGGGTCGCACACCTGGAAAGCTTTCTTCTGTCCCCAACTCATACCATATCGCCTAGTATTACAAGGTTGATATCTGCTTACCAGCTTGGTCTGGAGAAGGTAGCCGAAAATTGGCCGATATTGAATCAGGAATTGGTCTGTGGGAGGGAAGGATAGTTGTGGCATTCCGCACCTCCTCGCTCTCCGCTGCTTTGTCACGCTGCCCTTCTGACCGCCTCACACTTCCTGTCAAGTCGCTGCTGGGACGCGCGAGGCTTGTCACTAGTCTCGCGAGTGCTCGAGGCCAATCAACGCCGCCCCTTCCCCGATTGGCTGGCGAACACTGGGGCAGAGCGAAGGGCGCACACACGCGCTGGAGTCTAGGCACCTCAACGGCGGACATAGACACAACTCGCCTGGAGAGACCGTCGACATAGTCTCTGGCTGCAGTGTAATTACCGGTTGGCATTCAGAGTAGTCAGGTCTGTCGTCAACTCTCCAAGTCAAGCATTACTTTAACTGCTGCGATTGCCCTTCTGACTATTGGTGCAACCTCCATGATCGGACATTTGTTAGTTGGTATGATAGCCGGGATGGAGTTTTGTTAGGTAATGCATTGACCGCGGATTCTCAGTATAGAACGTGAGCGTACATCAATTGAATATGGGCTTTGGGCAACATACCTGTGTGAAACGTGACACCAAACGGCCCGCAGCGACTTTTTTCCAAATCGTGCGAGATGTCTCCGCGTAATCGCACCGTCTGTATCGTGGTGAGGCAATGTAATGAAAAGGATGTTCAATTACAGGAACCGTTGAAAGTTTACAATTAGGCAAGTCGAGAAGCTGCCTAAAACTAGTGACGAAATCTGGGATGAATAACCAGAGGGACTGGAATCTAACTGCCCACACCGTGGCCATCTAACTCCTTTGGGTTTTGACTGATAAAAAATAATACATATGGGATGCGTACCTTTATAGGCCCATCGAAGAGCATGAGATGGTTGAACTGCTCGCATCTGGTCAAGTTGGTGCAAAAACGCGGTCGTATTTCACACGACAGCGGGTCCGCAGCTATGATAAACAATGAAGACGAAGTGTCATTCTCAGCATATGACCTATTAGACAGAACTTCCAAATAATTCCCAAACCCTAGTTGACATGGCTGGCCAACGGTCGCGCAGATATGAAGCCCATCTCACAAGACTAATTTGCATCCAACTAGTCAGTCTTGTAGGGCTTGAAGAATTAAGAGGGCATACTGATCTGCGATTCACTAAGTTCGTCAGCACCTGCATAAATAAGAGGGCAGTCTGGGGTTTCCAACAATTTACAAGAAGCCGATTGTTTACAATCCCGTGTGCACATTGTTGCATTTATCGCTGAGCCGTTTTGATCTCTCACATCGGTAGAGTTTCCGGAGCACTGACCACAGTTCTTACAGGATTAAATTGCGTTGGGGAGGTGGGGAGGGCATAGGAGCTAGTGGAAAGAAACTGATCAGTTTAAAGACAACCTTTTGCAGGGAGGTCGGTGCGAGTAAAAGCGAATCCAATTGGGCTAGCGTCGCGCTCCACAGGTTCGGCAATGACGGTGGTAAAGCTGTTTGGAGGACCGTTGAAGAATTCCAGCCAAGTGTTTCCTGTAAGATGGGGAAGGTTGTGTGAATGTTCGCTTCCAAGAATGCTTAACTAATGAGGTAAAAAGCGCTGTGTTCAACTCACCATCTTCGACAGTATCAAGTATCATTAGTGGTAGTAGTAGTAGTAGTAGTAGTAGTAGTAGTAGTAGTAGTAGCAGTAGTATTAGAAGCAGTGCGAATGGTCTTATAACCAGCTTGTGGCCTGCCCGGAAGACGAAAATTGGCTAGGCTTGGTTCTGTAGCCCCACCAGAGCGATACTACATGGTTAGTTTTCTAAAAGAAATGTAGCAGATACGAATACGCTGACTACAAATGTCATCTACTTGCATCTCCCCTACCATTTTAATCCAGAGACTGACTGTGCCACGGGGGAAAAGTGCTTATACGCCAGCCTCGGTTACTTCAGGTATCAGTTCACACGGGCATCGCCGGCCTGCGTTCACTTTATTGTCTCAATCCAGCGAGCGGCTAAGTAGACCTGCTAATCGAATTGTTCGGACGGTGTAGAACTCCGTTGGTTCCACTACAGTGGCCATACAGTGCGAACCATTATGCGGTTGCTTCAGTGGAATTCCAGTTGTGACTGCGTCCTCCTTAACCTCTTAATCAAGCAAGTGGTCTTGTCGGGAGGAGGGTGTGTACACGCCGCCTTCACTCGCTTCCCTTCTCGTGATTCGACCTCTGCTTGCTCTCTCTTTCCCTTCTTAATCCAGCAAATGGCAAAGTCAGGTATGCTAATCAATATTATTCTAGTAAGCTAACCATAAGGTATCAATCAAGTGGGGCTGCAAAACCGAACCTCGTCGAAAATTCTGGTAGCTTTTTCGAACACTCTGTTAGAATGAAACTTACCATCCAGGTGACCAAATTTACATAGTGTCTGATAACCAAAACAATCAGTCTGCCTCCAGAACGGTCAGAGTCGGACGCAGCAAAAGATATTGTAACACTTAGAGAAGAGGGAGATCTAACATATGAAATTACCGATCCTGGTCAATCGGACGTCTCTTATCCCGTCCTGACATTGGGACGGACACATGATCTAACTGGCTAAGGTCTTACTAACTGACACACGTGGGTAGGAGAACTGCGAGTAATAATGAGTCTCCACGCAGGGTTGCAGTGGTGACCAGCGAGTCCTGGAAAAGCGAACACTGGAAAAATTTACAGAAATGGTGGGCGTACTCGCAACGGCTTAAAAGTGATGCCCTCGACGTGAGATCGGGCGGAGGGGGAAGTGCCGTCACTTCACTTCCATTTCTCAACAGACGCTGCCCACATGAATTCTTACCTCCCGGAGACTCGGATCCATAACCGTTCGGCGGTCGCGAACGTAGTGGATGCTGAAATGGTGACTTGCACATGAGTTACTTCTTAATGATAATAGACACGAGGTGCATCTACCACACTCTCTCCTTCCTCATTCACCTGGACTCGGTGTCAAGACTGAGTCCAGAGACCGAAAGCGCGATCGGGGGTCAGTGGCTGGCAAAGCTACAGATCCCGTCTGCGCGTGCCATGCGCGTGATGGTTTATGGTTCAATAGAAACAACAAAGGAGCGACTCGGATTCCGACTTAGTGGGAGTACCATAGAGGTCCCATCAATAAGGAGCCGTTGCAGCCTAACTCACGGTTCGGGGGAGAAGGAGGAGGACAGAGTTATTCTGTCAATTGGCAGCCCTCCAAGCCACGGCTTTTAGCACACCGAGGAGCATTGAGGACGCATTAGTTTTTTTTACGGTGAAGAATTTGCGCTGAGTGAAGTGATGACGCAGTCCCCAGAATCCAGTCCACTCTCTCTCTCTCTTTCCAATCCAAGGCACCAGTCGGCTGTCCGAGCCGGTCAGTCATCCGATACGCGGATTGAACAAAAGTAGCCGTCAAAGCCGGAGAGCTCGTCTGCGCGTGTTAAACACGAACTGGTCCCTGACATAACATACCGGGTTTCCATAAAAAGGAGTGGACGGCTTGAACCTCACATGTCTGATTGCCATGGTGGCTACATGGAGAGTGAACTAAAGAACACCCCTCCCACCTTGCTGAGAGGTGCCCCTTACGTGTCTGTAGTGGTTGATGTGGGAGGGGTTCGTGTGTGGTGTATATTGGTGAGGAAGTTTGTGGTGATGGTGTTCGGCCTGAGGTGGTTTAGGGCAGGTTGGCATGGAGGTGCGTATGGATGAGTAGATAAAAGTGGAGGCTAAATGTGCGTGGAGCTGAGGCGAGTGCGGTGGGCCTATGTCGGGACACCGGGCTTTGGTAGGCCGGTCCCAATATGGTGGGCCCGCAAGCGACCAGTCAGGCCTATGCGTGATTTAATGATGCGATCGCAATAAGGATAGGTTGAGATTGAGTCAGCATTACTGACAGTGGGGGCTCTGCTGGTGGTGGTGGCGGTTGATGGGCATCGGGAGGGTTCACACCGCTGGGGGGAGGTTGTGACAGAGATGATGGAGATGATGGGTGGTGCTGGGGGGAGTGTGCTCGTCGGCGGCCATGATCGTTGTCGTCATGAATGCCGTAGGGTCTGCGGCAGGTGTGACTATGGAGGGCGTTTGCGGGGGCTGTAGGTGGAGTTTTCGTTTCGTTACTACATTTGATCCCACTGTGTCTGACAAGAGTTGTCCGTGCACGGAATATCCGTAATCAGCAGGGAGAAGATGAGAGGTTTTGGGTGTTGGCGTTGTGGTTTGGAGGCTCTGAAGACTTGCGAGCCTTTCTCATGGCTTTGGCTGCGACGAGCCTCCCAGCCTCTTAGACTGCTGCTCCAGCCTTTGCGGCTCATCTTCAGGCTGGTCGACCCTAGGTGAGATTATCCCAGGTCTCCGAGTTGATACTTGGGTTTCTTAAGGGAATTTTTCAGTGCTTTTGTAATGTCGTCTCTGTCCTCCATGTTGACGATTAGTTAAGTAGGATTGTAAAACTAGTCAGCCTGAAACATAATTCTATAATAATTCAGTTATCTCAGGATGCCGACTTTCGAATGAACTTCTTTCCGGCTGCATGCAAAAACTACACTCTGCAAAAAATGATTACTTTAGCAGCATTAATTTCTCTCATTAATTTTCGACGCTCCCTAACGTCCAATTGTATGTCATGGAAAACATGCATAAAATACTCAGTCTTTTGCTTATTCGGTAGACAATTACGTCTTCTTCTAATTTTATACTCGAAGGATGGACATAATTCGGTTTTAAAAGAGTTCCTAATCGTGGGACTTTTAAACACCTTGAAATGGCCGTTTATAAATCGTCATGTCTCTGCATTTACCAATGTGGCTTGTAAGGTTAAGAATATGGATCAAATTCACTGCTTAATTTTATGAACCCTACATGGTCCGACTTTATTACTATAGAGCAATGTGGGCTTTTCCGTACGCGGAAAATATACGGCTTGTAGTTTGGAAATCCTTAATCCAAGTGTAGCGGTAGAGCGGGTTCAAAATTATTTGGTAATTGGAAAAGTCTTTGAAAACCAAATTACACCCTTACTTCGAGTATAAAATTGAAAGAAGACGTAATAATCTACCGAATGAACAAATGAGTGAATATTTTTATGCATGTTTTTTCATGACATATAATTGGACTTTTAGGAGCATCGAAAATAAGGGATAAAAATGCATGCTACTTAAGTAGTCATTTTTACAGAGTGTGGTTTTTGCATACGACCGAAACGAATTTTGTTCAAAAGCTATTATCCCGAGATAACTGAAGTATTATAGAATTATGTCGCAGGCTAACTAGTTTTACAACCCTACTTAATCAATCTTTTCCAAACGAAAACGCATTTCGGAATTTCGGTTGACATTTCAGGAGTTAGCTCACCTACTGTACTTGGATTCTTAAGGGGACTTTTCAGTGCTTTGGTAATGTCGTCTCTGTCCTCCATGTTGACGATCACTCCTTGCGACATCGCCGCATAATAGCCATTCGACGGGGTGCTCGTCGTTAATTCGCACGGCGTGACCCCTCCATCGCAGTTGAATTTGCCCCAACATGACCGTGGATGCCGAGGATTTTGGCTAATTTCAGGAATCCCGTGTTGGAGACTCTGTCTTGTCACCTCAGCTTCAGTATCCTTGGGAGGCACCTGAGGTGGAAGTGATTAAGTTGCCTGGCTTATTTGATATAGACTTTCCATGGCTCCGCTCCGTAGAGCAGCGTCGTCACGACAACTGCCCTACACATCTTCAGTTTTATGCCCAGTTGGAATCCGTGGCGGTTTCAGACTGAGGGCTGTGGCCAGCCTAAGGCCTAATTGGCTTTGGAGATCCAGCGAGCCACTTCCTCGTCGATCTTGACCTTTCTTGAGATTGTACCCTCAAGATATGCGGATTTGTTCGCTGATGTAAGCTCGGTTCCAGTGAAGTTGGTATAGGGTTCATTGAGATCCGGAGCTACAGCAGCCGCTACACGTCCTCCTCCCTTCAACGAGCAGTCATCCGCAAACAAGAGGTCGTGGAGGTTCGCCTTGATTACCGTCGAGGATTTTTTCAGACGATGTGCAATGATCAGTTTTTTGTTGGTTAGGTAGTTGATGTCTGTACCCGACAGCTCCTCACGATAGGCGTCCATCAGCATAGCAGAGAACGTGGGACTGAATAAAGCAAAGACTTCCTCTGCGATGTTGGATAACGAGGGGCCTCCCTGATTGTCACAGAGCTGTCGGCTTCCCTTGCGGATGTATACATGGAAGACGGTGACGTCTTGAGAGACTTATCCTCGTCGCCAAATTTCTTGGAAAATTGGAGTCAGGTCGTCCAGCAGTCGAGGGTTGTCGTGCTTGTAGACTTCGGTCGGGATTTCATTGGATCCCGGGCCTTCCCACCTGACATCTGGTGCAAATCCTTGATTATTTTTGTGAAGGAAAGCGGAAGGTTGAGGTTATCGTTCGTTTCAACCTGTGGAGGAGTCAGTTGATGGAGGCGTCGGAGATTGTGCGTGGTCGATTAAGGACGTTTCTGAAGTACTTGTCCCACGATGTCGTTCCACATATCGAGGGCGACGCCAGCATCGCGTCCTCTTGATTTCGAAGGACAACTTCTGAGGAAGGTGTAGCCGGTTTCCACCTCATCCAGCTGATCCTGATTGGATAATCTGGTCTCGCTGAGAGCGGCGATGTCCACCTTGACGCCAGTTCACAAACGACCAACGCTAGTTGCTCCGTGACTACCTTTCGTACCCCCTTCCTCGCAAGAGGAAAAGCAGTTGCAGTAGCTCTCACCGCAGGACTTTTAAAGCCGAAGGCAGGAGGAGGAGGAGGAGGAGGAGGAGGAAGAGGAGGAGGAGGAGGGGAAGGAGGATTGTGAAGAGTAGGATAGTTATCGCTTGTGGGCAGACACACACATACCGTATACTTTCATCCGGTTTAGTTCACAGGTCGGGACGGTTACAGGGCTTTGGCTCCCAGACAGACCCTATATTCGGGGCCAGAGATGAGGATTGGGTGCCATTTAGGGACCGCGGAGGGCAGCCACCACCTGCCTGAGGCAAATGATGCGACCTGCTACAGCCCACACGGTGTACCCCCTTACTGGACACCACTGAGGGCCCGTTCGAATGACTGAAACTGCAAGCTATGCCAACACTTGGGAGTAGTTCCAGTTAGTGCTTTCAGTCAAGCTTATATTCTTGGGCCAGTAAACTGGCATAGGTACGCGCAAAAGTTCAGCATGCGTTCGCTCATTAAAGCAAGCTGGAAGGTTGCAGACGGCAGTACCGGGAAGCGGGATGATCTACCTCAGGGACACGGACATGACTCTGTTGCGCAACGGTTGCGCTTCTGACTCCACGCCGGAAGGTTGCGTGTTCATGTCACGTCGGGGTCACCAACGTAGGTAATAAACCGGTCTATCGCGAGTAGAAGTAGAGAGAACAGAGGTAGCCGCAGGGGTGCAACGTGACGATAACTTGATATTGAGAGTCGCGTCAAAGGTTTTGTTACAGATCGTATCATTGGCGCACTAAAAGAAAACGCTTTTTCGCGTCACTACAGACTCATCACAGACTCGTAGGGTTGATATTTTGACAAAAATGTCTTCACAAGTAAATAAAACTCAGTTGGTCACATGCTCCACCACCAGGTTAGTTGAACTAATTACGAAACAAGTCGTTTGAGAAATTCGCTGAATTTTATAAAAGCGTGCACGACAGGACAGATGAGACTGCACCTTCAAAATGCGATGGTTTTCATCAGTGCAAGATGGCCAGGGATTGGTAGAAGATGAATGAAAAGTCTTACCGCAGTACTGTTGAAAACAAAAATTCTCCCTGCCGCACGGACGAGACGAATGCCCGACTCGTATTTTCGGGTCAGAATCGACAACCTTGAAAGGGGAAATTATCCGTAAGTAAGGGATGTATTGTACTGCACAAACATAAAATGACATGTGTTTCTGAGGCTAACATTGAGAGTTTGAGATAATTAGTATGTGAATTTAGGGTAAAGTACGGAATTTAACAAGGACTCGCCAATGAATGCGACTGCCCAACGACGATTATATCAAAGTGCGAATTCCTTTTCACCTCGAAGTTTTCTGGTCTGACGACGGAGGGTAGTGCTAAAACTGTAAATGCAGATATGTAGGTCGAAAGTTTCAAGCATGTGGTTGCCTTTAATTAACTATTCGTCTTGACATTAACCCACCTCTGCCACTTTGGCACTTTCCATACCTCTCTTCCCCCTCCCCCTCTCTTCCACCTCCTCCCTCCATCATCTACCTTTGAGGAAGGGTGCAACTTTAGTGTCTCGATTGTGCCTTTTTGAGTTTTGTTCAAGTGACTCTTCAGGATTGCACCTTCTAAAAGTCGATATTTAGGTCAATAATTCAGGTAGAAAGGATCCGTTGAATATATGCGTACTGTCGTAAGATTACATAACACAACAAGAGATGTTCGGATTGATCTTAGTGACCACATCTCTATCCTCCCTGTAAAGTACTTTTTCATGGGGAATTCTTCTTTGGACCGCGTTCGATTTGTAATTCCCGTTTCTAAGAATCTCGAGTTAAAAGTGCTCCGCGTTTGTCTGTTCGCGCTAACATGCGGACAACAAAGGTCTCCAGGTTCGAGAGGTGGGAGTTACAACCCATCCGGCTGGGCCGCGCACGTCTCGTGATCAAGTGTGAAGGTCATTGCATCCAATAACCAGGTCAGCCCCACAAATCCGAAACTGACGACAGATCACAGCCTAAAAACTGGCCAATAAAAGTGCAGTTTGTCTTCGTTTGTGTTTTAGCCGCCTACTCCCTCCCACTAATCTTCCCAGGAAGTAATAACTTCATTGTTTTTTTAAAAAGGCCGGACCCTAGGTTTGAGAATACAGAAAAGAAAATGGAAAAGTACTGCAGGCTTAAATAGGCATTGTGAATGTATTAGCTAATGTACTGCGTATAGATTTTTTGATACAAAGGCCTATCAACTAATAAACTTATTGGCAAGAAGTGTCTGCTTACATAGTAACAGCGAGAGAACCGCAACATCCGTGAAAAAATCGGCCATTTGACCTCCTGGTCTACAAATTGAGGGATGTTTGCTTGAGTGGCAGAAGCTCTTGCAGCAGTAGCAGTCGGACAGAAGGAGTCTAGTAAAAAATCAATATTCTTGGTTAGCTGATTACTGTCATCCTCGTCGAATGTGGTTTTGAAGATGTCTAGGATTGAATTGAAACAGGTATAGACGAGTGATACTTACAGTCGACACGAGGAAGGGTGGTGAGGTGCAAAACCGTCTGCGCCACGGATATTTATATGAGACAGAAAAGAGCTTGCTGTCGACAAACATCATCCTCCCCGCGTAGGCGAACTCAAAATAAGACCCTTTCTGAGTCCGCCCCCCTCCCCCAGATTTGGAAAGTAGGATGTGAACTCAGCGACCAATACTGTGACTGAAAGTGGTAAACATTCATGGCAACAGAAAGAATGGAGGCGGTTAGTCTTCTGGAGAATGACTACCCTGCAACGAAAAGCCTGTACAACTGAGAGGCTTACTTTTTCTGGTTTTCATTGACTCTACTCTCGGGTCGTACTCAAGCAAAAACCCCCAGAGGGAAGATGTTCTTTGCTTAATGTTCTTCCTCACCGGAAACCCATCCCACGGCAAATTACATCATATATCTTTCCTTCAGAGTCAGACGCACTTTTTCTTTAATCATCTACTGGGCCCTGCTGCGGTACGAAAAATCGATACAGACATTCAAAGATGGAGCGCACACTGCTTATGAAAAAATCTGTCAGGGGAAAAGCTTGGGAAGCTTCTTTTATCATCGGGAATATTTGTAAATCGAAGAAAAACTGGGGTGGGACAAAGAGGCAGCACTTCTAGTAGGAAGCTGAGACGACAAACATGCCAGACTTCGGGGGGTTCCAAACTGTGTAGGTAAATTTATCGACACCAAACTTCGAAGGATTAGGATACCGCACATTGAGTCGAGTACCCAAGCCCAGGTTTGGGTGCGTCTGAGGTTCGAACCCGTGTTCTTTTGCTTAGTAAACTTTAGGAAGTCCAACGCTCCAGTTATTGAATTACAGGCTCCTTATTCTGTCAGTTGCGAACTGGAATATTAGCCGTGTTAGAAATGCAACCACCGGTAGGATTACGGGACGTGCTAATTTCTTGTTGTTTTGAAACTCGATGTAGAACCCCGCAGGCGGTCGCACAGTGACTAGTAAATACATGCCTGGCGTACAGTGAGAATCACTCCCATCCCTAAAAAGCCTGCAAACTTTGGTCCTAAATCTTTTCACCCAATTGCCTGCTCCTCTGCAATACTAAAGCTTGCTGAAAGAGTTGACCTAGATATCATAAAGCCTTTTTCTTCCAGTTTTTCCGACCCCTTATAATTTGCATACAAAGCTAAACGGAGTACTTTAGATGCTGTCGCTCTTGTGGTCCGCTTTGCTCTAAAAGCATTAGACAAGGGTTGCCGCGAGCATGCGTGCGCTTTTCTTGATTACTCCTCCGCCTTCAATACCGTCCCACGCTCTCTTCTCCTTTCCAAAACCTCCGCATGCGGCTCTCCAGGCTGGGTCGTCTCTTGGCTGAGCGATTATTTTACCTTCCGCACCCAATTTGTCCAATCTGGCAAGCGGAAATCTTCAACCCTTCCCAAGGACTGCGGTGTTCTTCAAGGTTCCATTCTATCCCCTCACCTTTTCTCCTTCCACACTGATGATCTCAGGTCCCCTAATGACTGTCTTCTGGTCAAGTATGCTGACGATGTGGTTGTTGGACACCCTCTCAAAAGTCAGACACACCTCCGGTCTCTAAAGGATGGCCTAAACCATGTCCTAGCCTGGTCGGAGGAAAATGGTCTCCTAATTAACAACCAAAAATCCGTTCAGTGTATTTTTCGACTGCGGCCCTCTCCTAACCCTGATTCCTCTGAAATTCTTCCTAACGAAGTATCCTCTTTCAGGTATCTCGGCGTTACTTTGTCCTCAAATCTTTCTTGTTCCCTCCATATTGAGTCCCTATTTATTAAAGTTCGTAAACTTTTTTACTACATTCGTCGTTTACCTTCCTACCGCACACCTCAACCCTTAGTCTGGCGATTCATTGATGCCTGCATTCTTCCTCTTATCCTATACTGTTCTCCTGTCGTTTTTCCTGCTTTGTTAAAAAAGGATCTTTTAATTTTGAAACGAATCCTCCGCATGCTCTCTTCTGCTGCTGGCGTTTCTTATATTTTTTTTAGTTGACACTATCTTACAATGACACTTCAATGCGGTCAAGCAATTTGTTGATCGAATTCTAGATGACGTTGCCCATCCCCTACATTCCGTTCTCATGTCTGCCAAGTCTTCCCGCCCGATGCGCCGCAACTTCCGTCTTATATCCTGTCGCACATCGGCTTATCGAGCATCCGTATTGCCATTCCTAGCGCGCTATCTTACGTGCGAAGAGACAGAAATACAGAAGTTAAGACTTGAACTATCCCCATAATAATCGTTTCTTTGTGTTAAACTTTGACTCTTGAATAATCTATTAACTTATTTACTGCCTATAGTGAATGGAGCCAACTTTTTGCTGAAAACTTTGAACATATGATTTCAAAATAAAGCGC